TATGTGCTTCGTCTTCAGTTGGGCTGGCCGTTGTTCCGCTATACGACGACAAGATGCTTTCGGCCAGGGTATCCTGTCATATGTACGCACCATTGAGATCACAGATTTCAAATTAATCGCAATGACTCACATGATAGCGAGAGTCGGGACGTTTCCCTACGCATGCGGAGGAGTCCGTTTGAAGGTTCGGGTCAATTCCCCTCTCGATTTTAACGCGCAGGCTAAAAAGGGCTTTGTCGCTCCAGGGAAGTTCTGCGGCAAAAGGCAGAGCTTCAGCTTTAATATGAGGTATACGCCCTTGGATGTTACGCACTGTGTGAAACTTATTGCCCGTCCAAAAAGGATCCAGAAAGAAAAATTATCGTTCACAAATCAGTTCAAGTGTCGAAGAGCAAAGCAGAGATGACCTTACCGGACATTCGAGATGGAGGATCCATCTTCTAAACCGATATTCGATATTGACAGCAATCCGATATCTGAACAAGAGTTGAACGTTGAACAAGAGGTTATGAGAAAGGTGATGAAACCCAGCCAACGGAGGGGTAGAGTTCAATTGCAAGTAGCGCTAGCGTCTTTTTTTAAACATTCCAACGTAGGCCAAACAATGACAACAGTGCCACAAACAGTGGAAAAAGAGACTGCCGACATGCCGTGTGGCACGCAACTGATTACGTAAGTATGCAATACTAGAGTAGTAAGTACATCGTCCATCGACCAACCATCGACCTCCCATTTCAAGCTTATATGGGATATATAACTGGACGGACAACACTCCAGGTTTTTCGCATTGCGCATAAGTACCTCTCGTATTATGGGGCGAAGATGCCCTTGTCTTTCGTCCATTCCGTGCCTCTTTGACCAGCAGATACTTGTCGCGGATAAGTTTCTCGACGCCACCCCGTTATCCTCGAGGAGGGCAAGTACAATGACTTCGGCACCAAACAGCAACCATATCCAGCGTTTCGGACATTGCGAAGATGCCTACGCATTTCCGAGGAGCATTCGACTGCGACACCCCGACATACTTGACCATGAGCCTCACAAGCTTTGGCCGACCCCTCAGCACATACTTCTCCTCCCACAGTCCTAACTATATTGGTTACTTAGTTGACGGTATAGTACCGAACTCATATGGATAGGAACCGCAAAGACGCATTCGTCCCCTCCGGGTCAAACCACCTCTAAACTCCAATACCTATGCACACTCCGCCTCCGCACCGCCCACAAGAATTACGGTCGCTCAGAGTGAGGTGCTTATTACTATGCAACAGTCCTCTCCGCAAAGGATTATAGATTTGACTGTAGGCCCACCTCCTGGAAGGACCAGTGCCGACTGAGAAGATATCTGAAGACATCCAGCAGAATATAGGACGGATTTGGGTAGAAATGGTCAGAGTCCAATAGAACATCCAGCGGCAAACTTTTAGCCAGCGTCGCCGATTTATACCTGGACGGTTCGAGAAGCCCGATATCGACACCTCGCTACTATTAGCACCGTTTGCTCATTATGGTTGCCAGCGTACTGCGAACATGAGAATCTCTATTCCACCTCGTCTCGTTTCAAATCACCAATCGGCAGCACAACCACCCCGGCCCCGACGACGCAGACCATCCACGCACGCGAAGTTAACCATGAAACGCGTGCACTGTTAAGACCCTTCGATAATGTTCAGACGCGAGAAGAGTGCATGAACGTTCCAGATGATCTGGGTCAACTCAAATATATTTCATTCGGGTACAAAATTCAAGTCCTCCAGTGGTTTAATTTCTGTCAACTAGCCGAACTGGGATCCGAGGGAAACGGGAAAAAGGATTCGCGATCCCTGCTGAATGAAAAAGGAAGTCAAAATCTACCATTGTAAGAAGTCGAGCGTGCGCTGAAACTACCTTCTCAAATTCCACTATCTTTCTTTCAAACTTCAAAGGTGCATCACCTCGATATTGTTCCCTTCTATATCAAGGACGAAGGCGGCATAGTAGCCTGGGACATAGTCCCTCACTCCAGGAGGCCCGTTATCCTTCGCTCCAGCTTTTCTAAAAATGAATGACGCGATTGAATTAAAATTCCAAAAAAGAACAGTGGTACACTTACAAGGCCGCTTCATAGAACTTGTCTACCACCTCCCTGCTCTCAGCCTTGAACGCCAAGTGCAACCCCTTCGTAGGCGGATCGTCCGGGCCCTTTACGTTGCGCAGCCAAAAATCGGGTACGCCTTTGACACCGAGACCAACAACGGTGCCTTCAACCTCGTAAAATTGTTCGTATCCCAACGGCGCAAGTGCTGCCAGATAGAATTTCTTGGCTTCCGACAGGGAAGAGGAAACGAATTGGACGTGGTGGAGGACCATTGAAGTGATATCGTGTTTTTTAAGCAGTTAGATCAGAGATCGATGCGGGGATGAGAAGATCGATTGAGCAGCATCAATATGAGTTTGGATTTTATATGTGCGTGAACAATAGATGCCTGATGTGGAAGTGGAAACTCCGATCCTGACATAGATGACACATCGATGACATTCCAAAGTTTGGATTTTATATGTGCGTGAACAATAGATGCCTGATGTGGAAGTGGAAACTCCTATCCTGACATAGATGACACATCGATGACATTCCAAAATCCAAACAGTTCGTAAGAATCTGGGATTTGGACCCACTGCCGCACACCGGCGGCAACATCCGAAGCAGGGCACGTGGTATTAGTCATACACCCTGATTGTCTGCCGATGAAATTCTGCAATTGATGTTTATTCATATTCGCACAGAACCAAATTTTAAGTACTGTACTCCTATACGACGAATCAATGATGTTCCGAGAATAACTGGAACAAGTTTGCTATGATGTATCTAACTTCCCAATCGACATCATCTCGAAGACTTGACATTGACTTGATGAGCAACTCATATGTCGACGAATTTGAAGCCCAATGCGAGGGCTCCGATTTGAAGAGGAATCCCAAGGGCCGAGACTGATGATTTGATCACTTCTTAGAGTCGTGATTAATTGATTGATGATGGACTGATGTAGAGTCGAATATTATTATTAGAGTCAGACTCCATCAGGGATAATTTTGTCGATTCGTGAATAGACGAGCGAAGATGACTCTGTCTTGAAAGCTTGACGGCGAATAATGCTGAAGTCGATGACCGGCTCAGCATGGATAACATAACACTAGCAACAACAGCCCTCCGTAGGTATTTCCACCGACCCAACGCGCGAACGTTCTTCTTGCTTCATCTTGAACGCGCAGTGATCCATGTCGAAAGCAGTGCCAATCACGAAGATCTTTAGCTTGATGCGATCCAATTAACAACTTCTGCTGGTCGGAATTGACAGAGGTGTCGCTGGAATGCTGATTCAACGACGTCGACGGTTAGGAGGGGTTCAGGACTCGGAGGCATCGACCAGCCCATTCTGGCACATGAGGGCACATGTGACAAAAATCATCGTCAAAAGCAAGTTGAGCGTGAAAAGCCAGGGCGAAGGTGGGCCTGGAAGGACCCTGAACCAAGTTATAAATGGATCATTACAGAAGAATTCTTGACCGCCCCTGACATGTGTGCAGTATATTCCCACGGCTGCTAACGAGGGTGCTCGAAACTTAAGTATATAAAGCGAACAAAATCGAACGACTAACTCCACCCCCCCCTCTTCATTCACCGTTCACGACTCCCCCCAAAAACCAAAGCTCGTCAAAATGTTCTCCAAGGTCTTCCTTACCCTCGCTGCTGTTGCCGTCGTTGTTTCTGGCCAATCTTCCAGCGCAACCGTGACGAGCTCCGCTGCCAACGCGACTTCCAGTGTGCTTGCAGGGATCTCCCCTTGTGTGCTTGCTTGCGTGATCCCCGCAGCTACCTTGAATGGTTGTTCTTTGTATGTTGACATTTTCATCTCGTCGAACCATTGCTAACCCAGACGCGATTTCTTCCAGCACCGACGCGGCCTGCGTCTGCGCTTCTGCTCAATTCCAAGCCGATGCTACTGCTTGCTTGACCCAACACTGTACCGCTGCCGACATCGCCGCAGCTGTTGGTCTCCAGGCCTCCCAGTGCGCTGCTGGTATGCTTCCTCCGTCTTATTTTGCTTCGATGTTTTTCTGACCCTTACCTTGGGCCCTATAGCGAGCATCACCCCCACCGTCTCCGCGTCCACCACCCACTCCATTCCCTTCTCTCTCGCTAGCTCCAGCGCCTCCACCACCGCAGCTTCTGGTTCCTCCACCCATGCTGCCAGTGCCACCTCGACTAAGCCTGCCTCGACTACCTCGGGAGCTGCCGCTTCTACCACCTCGAAGGCGTCCGCCGCTGGATCCTTGGTCGCGAAGAGTGGCGCAGTTGCTGTCGTTGGAGCTATCCTTGCTGGCGTTCTCGCTCTGTGAGGAACCCCAAAAGCGCATGAATGTTTTCAAAATAGGTTATTAATCGGCTTGAGGGGACGGTCCTTGACGTTTTGATGATACGCGATGAAGTAAATTATAGACAAACGCTAGTACGTACGGAGTGCAGGAGAGGTTTTCATTCTTTATACCTCGTCTCTTGTTTTGAATGCACCTCGTATAGAGTATCTATCCGAACGTACTTACAAAATACCGATACAGCGTCTCTAAGCACAACGTTTCACCACGAACGAATGTTAAGCGGAGAACATGTCGTTTCCTCAATACAAATTGGAATTCATATTGAAATTCGATTGATCATGCGCAGGGGTGCCCTGCAACTGCGGAATTGAATTTACGTGTGATAATGCGGGGGTACATATATGCTCCCGTTCATCATGTTCATTACGCCTTGCAGACACGTTGCTCAGTGCTGCGCCGTTGCTGCATCGCGCTAGTCTCTGTCACAAGCCCCTTTAGCATAGTGCTACGTCGTGCGACGTCGTGCATGGATCTAACCTTAGTGTAATACAGTACTAAAAAGCGTCTAACCAGAATAGCGTGATATAAAGGTCCTTTTTTCCTCCTCCAATTCTGAAGTGGCGCTTTGAAGTACGACGCTCAATGGGCTCTTGGCGCAGGGGCTAGCGCGTGCGCTTTGCACCGGCTGGATGTGCGCAAGGTCGTGGGTTCAATTCCCACAGTGTCCATTTCCTTCTCTTTATTTTTTTCTGAGTACTTGAAATGGCATTCCACTTCAACGATTTCGTGTCAAAAATACATCTCAGACTTGCAGTGCCGAGTAGGGATCCATGTCGAACATATTTTGAAAATAGCAGTCGTTACTGGTTCATGTTGATGATGCAGCTTTGCAGCCATAACAACATTGGGCGTTCCGTTAGTATGTAGTGTTTTATATCCACAGTTCAACGTTCATCGATCATCCTTCAGTCAACGTGTCTAGAAAATAATAACAAGGGCCTGACATGTTGGCGCAAGAGTAATTGGTATACGGAGAAAGATAGCTAGTTTGAGAGAATAAATGTGTCTGACAGTATTAGAGGTGGCGTGAATCTTCCTTAACAAAGTCCGCAGCCTGAGCAGAAAACTTTAGGTCGAACTTTGAGAAAAGAAAATGGACGCACCCTTTCCGCAATCATATATATAGTCGATTCCTATCGAATGGTTAGCGATGCTCCGAATAAAGACCTTAACGATGGTTAACGAAATACTCACAAGATGGGCACTGATCGGGAACGGGATAACAGATGCGTCTTGAGATGATATGAAACGTTAATGAATGAACGTTTCCGAATAAAGCTGCGAATGCTCACCAACAACACGAACGTTCTGAATCCCATATACCCGCAATCTGGTATCAACAACGCCCCCAAGCTCTTTCGGCATCATAGCCAAAGTTCCGATGACATGATTATCGCTCGCTGAGGCTCCCCTCGCCCACGTCGTCACGTCCTGTTCGGTCTTCTTATCTTCGCCCGGCTCATACTCTCCTTCGTAGATCGAATCAAGTGGGGGTGTGCGCAGCATCTTTCGTCCGAGCTCGATTGCTTTGACGTGCGTCGCCAGGTCTAGAGGATGGGCGTAGTACGCGGGGTCGATTGCAGATTTATCGAGAGGATTAGAGCTGGTGATGTGAGTTCGTCCACGCGAAAGAGGCGCGAATAGAACAGCATTGATGGTCGTGTACTTTCTCGCCGGACGATTTGGAAGCAATGTAGGACCGCCATAGCCTGGTTCTGTTAATATATGACATCCATCCATCAGTTAACTATTTATACACCGTATGAATGAAGCAGTGAAAGAGGCATCGTACCGAGATTGAGCTCGACCGGCGCGACCTTATCTCGTTTCCAAAAATTTAGTACGATGGCGTGCTGTGCTTCGATGCCTTTTTCCAAGTCCGCGTTCCCATTGGAGAACAGTTTTGCGTAGTGTGTAATGTTAGACTGGGCATCTTGAACCAGACTGACGAGTTCAGAGGCAGCGAAGAGGTTAGAGGCCGCTGCGAGACCCAATGACCGAGGAGCGGCTGATAGGACACCTAATATGGCGCAAGTAAATCTCATGATAATCTAGAACAAAATTAGAATATGTCTCACCGGTGCGGTTGTGGTACCATAACTCCCTCTGTTGCGTCTCGAATTTTGGCTCGAGTACCAATAAATCTCGCGTGAGGCTGAATTTTAGGTTAGAAAACCAGAGATAGAACAGAACAACACCGCCAAGCTTACGAGGCATTGGTAAATGCGTTTGCCCAACCGTGGACATGATCTATTGGAAAGTGAAATGAGCGTTCTGCTATCCAAAAAAATAACGCCGCAGCTACCTGCTAGGTTTTCCCCGACAGTCGGTAAATTCAACACGGATTTCACACCCGCTTTTGTGAGTATCCTGGTGAAAAGTGTTAGGGCAGACTGTGCTGAAGAAATAAAGTACCTGAGTACATACGTCTCGTTACCAACGCCAGAGTGTTCCAAGATCCTTGGACTTGCGAGGGTGCCGGCAGACAGAATAACTTCTTTCTTTACAGATAAATGGCTTATCTGCGCTTCCCCATCTTGGAACTCGACGGCGGTGGCTTTTAACGGCGCAGACAGTCGTGACTTGGAGGTGCGTGGCGGGTCCCAGAGTATACGCGTCACGAAGACATTCGTCAACACAGTCAAATTGGGTCTGTCCACGAAGGGCGTGTAATATGCGCAGACGGACGAACACCTGCGAAAGATCAAAAGCAATGATATGTCCGGGTTAGAATATCAAACTAGATCAACGAATGATATCTACCTCGTGTTATTGTGGGCGTCGAGCGAGTTGGGCGAAATACCCACTGTGCCTTGTGGATTTCCGTTCGCGAGGTCAGGCGATGGTTTGAACCCGGATGCCTTCTGCCACATTTCCGATTGAGGGTAGAAAAAGTTTGGATAGCCGACTTTCACGCGGCCTGTCTGGACAGATGTCCCGTGCACGTCCTCTTGGTATTTGACGCCGCTCGCAATTTGTGCAGCATTCGGCGGAGAAAATATTTCCGACCTCTTGAAGTAGGGTAGCAAAGCGTCCCAAGTCCAGTTCGGGTCTTTGTTGTTCAGTGCACCCCATGCGTCATACTCCTCTTTTTCTGCGCGAGGCTTAGAAGTCGAACATTATCACATGCGGCAGAATGACATAGCGAAGAGCGACGTACGAATATCATGCTGTTGACTGGACACATACAGCGAAAGAGCGGTATTAGCTCGACCAGAAAACGCGGTTACTGGTACGACAACACTCACTGATCGTCCCTCCACCGAGAGCTTTCCCCGCATTGATGATCGTTGTTCGACCGCCTAGATGCTCTTGTGGAAGCGTCTCATATCTCCAGTTGAGGGTGGTGAAGGTCTGCCCCAAACCAGTCAGACCAGGAATGAAGACCTATGGAGAAACGTGGTATCGTGAGTGCGAAGACAGACGAGTCGGTATGTTGAAGACCTCAGGTAGATTTTCCACATTGGAACCTGCTTCGAGAACAGCGACAGTAGTGTGAGGGTCTTCACTCAGGCGGCTTGCAATGGCGAGCCCACTGTTCAACGATGAATGATGACGTGCATGAATTCAATATCCGAACGAGCAACAGCGAGATAGCTTACGCGTTCCCCGCACCAATTACGATGTAGTCGAATTCCTTGGGGGTCTCGTTGAGTTCGTGAAGCGAGCTAGCATGAAGGAAGGCAAAAGGAAGCAACGAGAGTGGGTTAAATCTCATGTTCGAAAGGTGGGCGCTTGCAACTCGTTGCTTACCTCGAGGATTAAACTACTTATATAAGGCCTTATGTTCCGTAAGTTGGGTGAGTTGGAAAGTCTCCTGGGACTTTCCGCCTTTGTGAACCATCGGCAGACTTCGTGAGGCTGACTTCCCGAGGGTCTCAAAAGTCTCCTAAAGTTTCGAAGTCTCAGGAGACTTTCGAATTCGCATTCTTTCTGGTAAGTTGATAGTCATGAGGTAAAAAAAACCTGAATGCGCGTAATAGAAATGAATGGTTCAGGGCCTAAATTACTCAAATAGACTAGCGGCTTTACCGTTAGCTTTGCTATCAGCGGCGCTCGAATACGGATGTTTCCGGGACAAACACGGGAGGCGACGAGAATCGAGAGACGGTCTTCTGAAATCCGAACATGATCTAAGTGGATGATAAAAATCGAGAAGACTTTTTAGGTCAACATCGTCGGAGGACGGAGGGAAAGGTGTTTGTTTAGAGAAGAAGTTGGTTTTTTTATTCTTGGTCAGCTGGTTCGTGTTCGGGAAGCGGGATCTCAAAAAATGGCCTCAGCGCTTGATAAGGATTGAAGGATAGGACACTCTTATGGCTGCAGGGCTGCATTAATTCAAATTTGCGATGTTCCGGATGGGTGTGATCCAGACATACCGAGAGGTCTGCAGTTGTCATGAGAAATGTTGGGTAGATATGACTCTACAACGTTATTAGAGGTCGTCCGGTTGAAGAACGTTCGGAGCAGAGCAGTGGTCGAAGTTAAGTCCAATTTCGCTTCACTGCGAGCCTTGTTCAAGGATGGCATAAATTGAAGCTAGGGCATAGCGAAACCTCAATGGAGGAATCGGACGCGAAACTGTAGAGAAACTTGTCGACAGGCAATATGGCGTCGGATTCATGCAACTCCGAGCAGGCGTAACGAGGACGTGGAGATTAAGTATCCTGGAATGGAAGGCTGCCGAAAGTCGAGGGCTTGAACAACGGGCAATCGAGATCAAGGAAATCAGATTCTCGAAGGACGACATAATGTGGATTGCGCAATTGCCTTAATTTCTTGACAATATCGCCGTCTGTTGTAGCACCCAAGAAAGGTCAGAGGGCAGTTCGAAGGACCGAGGTAATCTAAGGTTATGATTGCCGGACGTTACATCTACGACGATTGCAGGAAAAAATTCGCTCACCAGCGACAATAACGCGGTTATATCTCCATCTTGTTATCCTCATCGGATTGTTCTTCCCCATGTTCCGCGTCTTCTTCCACCTTCGCGTCATGTGTAGGCGGGACGCGCGAATCCGCAGCGCCATTCATCTGCTCGATATTCCTTTTCATGGCACCATAGACAGCCTTCGCTCCAGACCGCGCCAACTCCCTCGCCTCGAACAGCTCGTTTTCACCATAACTCCCTGACGTAGATTTCCAGCTCGACCATACACAGTCAGAGTTCGAGTTCATGAGGCCAAGCTCGTCAGCGAACATGAAGGCGAAGCTGCCCCCGGCTTTCAGAGATTCTGATTCGTCTTCGCTGGGATCAACGACAAGGCGTCCGTCGGGCAACTGGCCAACTGCGACTGCTGTAACAACGCCACGCATCGGCACTGAGCTCGCCTTGAGGAATGCTACAGAACTTGCGTTGACCATAGCCGCTGATAAACTGTCTTTCCACAGCAACATCCGCGGAGAGCTGAGACTTTGGATGACAAGCTGGACTAGGGTCCTTGGATTTTTTGTGAGAATTAACGACGGTTCGAGGCTTGATCTCATGGTTGCTGCCAGCGATTTCGACTCCGTGGCAGGCACATTAGAGAGTGGTCGCACTAGAACCTCGAATGTGGCTTTTGAGGGTAGTTCAGCTGCTAATCTCACTTCGATAGGTCCAGATACTGAAGCAAGAGCAGCTGTATCGCCTGTATTAAAATACGTTAAAGCAACCAGAGATGTGAAC